TATCGATAATCATTTTTATTTTTAGCTGGTCAACACGTTTAAAAATGTAAACGAAAGAGAAGACACGGAATACGCATTATCAACCCCTTCCTAGGAAAAAATGCGTGTGGACAAATGCGTAAGATCCTCACTGGCGAAAGTATTTGGTGAAAATATTAGCATTACTCTGATGAGGAAGATGACGGAAACCCTGGCCTCAAGTATGCCAGAACACCAGCAGAGGGATGTGGCCAGGGCTATGGGCCACTCATTAGAAGTAGCCCGTAAAAATTATCATTTACTGCACAAAGGGCAAACAGATCCGGTATTTCCCGCCCGTCTGATACACCCTCGACCTCCGGAATCCCCCACCCGAAATACAATCTGACACTGATGAACCCTCAAACTCCGGAATTTCTGAAACACACCTACCATCCCTCTCAAAAAACCAAACGCCCGAAAAAAGAAAAGCTCGTCCAGATTTTGTATCTCGAGGACAAAAGCATTTAGAGCTACAGTTCCTCGCAAGACCTTAATATCCTCAAGTGATAGGATGTGGTTGTATTTCCACGAAGGAGTAAAAGGATTTCTTAAAGGTGAAGAATCTCTTTCTAGATCGCAATTACAAGAGATTGTTAAAGAGAGACCAAATTTGGCCACATTTAAGAACTAGAAAGAAGAAAGAGCCCGCAAAAGGAAACGGCACCTTTGGTGGTACGGGTAGAGGAAGGTGAAGAAGAAACCGAGGAAGGAGAAAGAAACTTGATATTTGTTTTTTCCCGGCTGTGGCAAAATACTTCGGCGGCAGAAACGAAGACATTTAATGCAAGCACACAATATCCCTGAGTCCGAAGTCGAAAGGTATATAATAATTTTATTTTATTTAATATTGTAGTAAGAATTCTTTGTCTTCGTTCTGGACGATTATTATTGCTGAAATCCATTTTATCGCTTCTTGGCTATTCAAATTTCGTTTCCTGACTATTATTATTATTGACTTCTGTAATTCTGTTTTGTGTGCAAATATTTACATCATATTTATTTTATTCAATTCTACAGATATCTTTACCGTCAAACCGGTAAAATAGATTATAAAAAATATACCAGATGCACCATCTGTCATAAAGTTAACTTGTGAGCAACTTTGAGACGACATCTGAGGACCGTCCATAAATTACGAGGAGAGGAGTTGGACCGAACATTAAGAAATATGACGCGAGAGTCCATATACTATGATGTGAGTATACATTTTCATTATTTCATAAGCACATTCATACATACATACACACATCCCTATCGTACAAGAAACTAAATATTTTGATGTTACTTTCTTTTCAGGTACCGGTACTCCAAAAGTATGAAGCGGCTCTTCAAAAAGGGGTTTTCAACCAAAAAGCAAAAGACGCAAAAACGGCAAAATACGCAGTGAACGAGCTTAAACTTTATTTCAGAGGTGGGACTCCTACAACTATACACCAGCTACTGGAGACGAACAGCGAAATGTCTCCGGCCCTAAGATACCGCCATCTTATAGCCATTAAACACTTCTGTATATGGACGGTGTTTAATGGCTATACAGTAGCTGGTGTAGAATTTGAGAAGATCCACGATGGGATAGATTTGGCCCAAGCGTCTGCTAGCAGACAGAAGAAACAGAAAACGTCCCTAAAAACGTTACGGACCAGGCACGGATGGAGAAGCTATTGGGACCCGTCATTGAGTAAGTACTTTATTGTTTCCTAAATTAATAAACATGAAATTCAAATTCTATCTTAGCCTAATCTGTTAAGTTTCGTGAAATGATTGATTTTGCAAAATTCCCCTTATTGTGACAAATTTATTTGGTAGTATTAACAATACAACATTTTTTTTTTAATTTTAATTATACATTTTTAAATGCTTAACCTAGTTTTACAATTTCCAAAAAAAAATATAATTTATTTCCCAAATAACTTTTCAGAAACATATTACTCGACGAATATTCACAAAAGTTAAAAATTTTGTTTGCGAAACTTTTAATTCCGTTTACTTTCATTCTAATGTAGGATGTGTTAATGTTCAACATTTTAAATAGGCCAAATTGTTATAGATGCAAATAAAAAAATTATGTTACAATTCAACTTATTATTCAAATTTTTCAATTTCGCTTGTTTTCAGGTATTTCAGTGGTCCGAAATATAAAGAGGCGTTGAAGGCACTCGACGTCACCCCGTCTCTGAAAAAACACACAAAATGTGCCTTAACCTGTTTGTAGCTTGCCATATCCTAATACGCGGCGGGAGAGTTGGCTACTTTTCATGTATGAAGGTAGGCGAGCTCAAACCGGCCAGGGAATATGAAGACGAAGGGTTGATCCAAATCGTAGTGGAGAAGCAAAAAATTAAGGACGAGATAGGTTTTCTCACAATGTCACGGGAAGACTACCAAATGTTTTTAAAGGTAAGAAAACTTCATAAATGCATTCGCTTCCATTGGACTATAATTTTATATGTACATACAACGTAAAATGACAGGATATATTCAATCATGGAACTCTACAAAGTATACCCTAATATTCAAATATATGTAAAATACTGTCGATACTACAAAATAAATCATTTCTATTTTTAGCTGGTCAACACGTTAAAAATGTAAACAAAAGAGAAGACACGGAATACGCATTATCAACCCCTTCAAAGGAAAAAATGCGTGTGGACAAATGCGTAAGATCCTCACTGGCGAAAGTATTTGGTGAAAATATTAGCATTACTCTGATGAGGAAGATGACGGAAACCCTGGCCTCAAGTATGCCAGAACACCAGCAGAGGGATGTGGCCAGGGCTATGGGCAACTCATTAAAAGTAGCCCGTAAGAATTATCATTTACTGCACAAAGGGCAAACAGATCCGGTATTTCCCGCCCGTATGATAAACCCTCGACCTCTGGAATCCCCCCCCCCCCCCCCCCCGCAATACAATCTGACACTGATGAACCATCAACCGCCGGAATTTCCGAAACACACCTACCATCCCCCTCAAAATACCAAACGCCCAAAAAAAGAAAAGCTCGTCCAGATTTTGTATCTCCGAGGACAAGAGCAATTAGAGCTACAGTTCCTCGCAAGACCTTAATATCCTCAAGTGATAGGATGTGGTTGTATTTCCACGAAGGAGTAAAAAGATTTCTTAAAGGTGAAGAATCTCTTTCTAGATCGCAATTACAAGAGATTGTTAAAGAGAGGCCAAATTTGGCCACATTTAAGAAATAGAAACAAGAAAGAGCCCGCAAAAGGAAACGGCACCTTTGGTGGTACGGGTAGAGGAAGGTGAAGAAGAAACCGAAGAAGGAGAAAGAAACTTGATATTGGTTTTTTCCCGGCTGTGGCAAAATACTTCGGCGGCAGAAACGAAGACATTTAATGCAAGCACACAATATCCCGGAGTCCGAAGTCGAAAGGTATATAATAATTTTATTTTATTTAATATTGTAGTAAGAATTCTTTGTCTTCGTTCTGGACAATTATTATTGCTGAAATCCATTTTATCGCTTCTTGGCTATTCAAATTTCGTTTCCTGACTATTATTATTATTGCTTCTTGTCATTCTGTTTCGTATGCAAATATTTACATCATATTTATTTTATTCAATTCTACAGATATCTTTACCGTCAAACCGGTAAAATAGATTATAAAAAGTATACCAGATGCACCATCTGTCATAAAGTTAACTTGCGAGCAACTTTGAGACGACATCTGAAGACCATCCATAAATTACGAGGAGAGGAGTTGGACGGAACATTAAGAAATATGACGCGAGAGTCCATATACTATGATGTGAGTATACGTTCTCATTATTTCATAAGCACATTCATACATACATACACACATCCCTATTGTACAAGAAACTGAATATTTTGATGTTACTTTCTTTTCAGGTACTCCAAAGGTATGGAGCGGCTCTTCAAAAAGGGGTTTTCAACCAAAAATCAAAAGACGCAAAAACGGCATAATACGCAGTGAACGAGCTTAAACTGTATTTCAAAGGTGGGACTCCTACAACTATACACCAGCTACTGGAGACGAACAGCGAAAAGTCTCCGGCCCTAAGATACCGCCATCTTATAGCCATTAAACACTTCTGTAAATGGACAGTGTTTAATGGCTATACAGTAGCTGGTGTAGATTTTGAGAAGATCCCTGATGGGATAGATTTGGCCCAAGCGTCTGCTAGCAGACAGAAGAAACAGAAAACGTCCCTAAAAACGTTACGGACCAGGCACGGATGGAGAAGCTATTGGGACCCGTCATGAGTACCGTAAATATTAGGTGATTTAGTGAGTTGTAAAAAAAAACAAGTATCCTAACAAAACTAACATTAATCTAGCAAAACTATCCATAATCCATGTACGCAATTGAAAAACTGAATTTATAATATTCCAAGCGATTCTGATCGAATATATTCGGTTAAAAATCTTTGTTGTTATTGGTCTGATTTTTATATGAATCCTGAAGAAAAAGTGTACCTATGACAGCTCAACCTGGCTAACCATCTGGAATATTCTTGATTCAGAATTGGCTACCCCTTGTTATCCCCTGGGTGAGGCTATGGGTGTGGAGATTGAACCACCGACACCAACATAGTAAGATAAAACGTTCTAACCCAGGAGTGGGCAAGGTTTTCGGACCGAGGGCCAGAAATTTTGCCCATCCAGACAATATTTCCAGTGTTACAAAAGCAAAAGTGGAAAACGATAAGTCTCATGCTAAAACTCAATCGATTGCAATTCCAACAAATTCCTTGAGCTATTATTTGCTAAAAAAAAAAATTTGGTTTCAGTTTGGTTGTGGAAGCATCAGGCGAGCCAGATTGAATTACCCAACGGGCCGGATTTGGCCCGCGGGCCATAGTTCGCCCATGTCTGTTCTAACCAAGGCAACTGGACAAATAGGGTAAAAGAAAGAAGTCTGGAGAATTTTTAGACGTAACATTACTGATAGAAGGTTAGTTAAAGATTCAGTTTCTTAATTCATATAGTATCATTACCTTTGCATTACATTTTTCACAGAAATAGGCATTATCTCCTTCTAATTTTTCACCAGCAACAAACTGATCAAGAGAATCCAATAAATTTCCACATTTCACAGGTAGATTTAAAGCAAAATATGGTTCTTCTCTTTCATATCTGAGGTGATTAAAAAGCATAATTAATACAAATGAAAAGCAAGTGCGTAAACCCCAAGTCAAGGTCAGGGTCACAAAAGTCACTAAACAAGACGCCTCACTGTTGTTTCTAGTCGCAAGTCAAGTTCGATGGATATGGATTAACCAAATTACAAATAACACTGTCTGCTGTTACCAGTCATGCTATAGTATGCGAATAGTTACCCAGGATATCACTTCAGATTCATTGTGTAAAGTTTATTTGCCCTCAAAGCAGATACACATATACAGGTCCTTATCCAGGCCTGTCATAAACTAGAATGAACCATCACCAAAGTAACACCCTCACACGCACACATGTAAACAAATAATAATTACTCAATAACAACAAGTAATGGCACAATGATTACAAGTGTCTGGTAAAGTAATCAGACCAAAACATTCACACATTGCTTTGGATGGTAGATTAAGAAGGAGACCGCAACGGATCACCAGTATTTGAAACACCTTCAATCATCAATTTTTTCACACATAATCATCCCAACATGATTCAAATTCGCAAACCCGTATGTAGCAAGGATATTTGAAGTCCAACACATTCATGATATATTTCTAATCTAAGTTGTTTCCTCATTACCAGATCTATTCAAAGTAAACAGCTAACATGCTAATAATGCAATAACATATTTTTCAAAAATGTAAAGGGATAACACTCACTTATGGGGACAGCCTTCGCATATTTTTTGGTCAGAAAATAATCCTTGAAGTGTTTTCTTAAACAAAGGTTCTTGATTTTTGCTCTGCAAAATATGATAATATGAAAGAATGACAAATAAAACGAACAATACAAAGCAGTAAGCGGACAATACCATCATGCCCAAAATAAAAACATCAGTTGAATCATTTAATCAGGTATTCCTGTACATCAATAACATAAAATAACAAGATAGAGCCAATTTATCTGTCAGGTCATCGACAGTCGTCATGTAGCTCACCACCAATCAATCAATTATGGCCTAACCCAGGGGTCGAGAACCCATGGCTCGCGAGCCATATATGGCTCTTTTGGCGGCAGCATATGGTTCCTAGAAAAATCTAATATTCTAAAGCTAAGCTATTATTGGTACGAAATTTCAAACTCTTTCATAGCCAAATTTGGCAAAAAGTTACCAATACGTTCGAGAACGCGCGCCCATCGCATGTCTATGTTATGTAAGAGAATTACCAGACGGGCATTGTGACAAAACTAAGGGATTCTGGAACATATTTGGTGACATCACAAAGCCACGGAGCAATAGAGAAAAGCTTTTTGTCCTTTTGTACGTAGCCTACTGGTTACGGTATTTTTCATCTTTAGATAGGTAAAATACTACGGAGATGCCTAAACGAAGGGAGGGTGATGGGTATCGTATATTTCAACTTGTGCCGCATGTGAGCATCATAAGCCTCAGAAAATGTATATTGGCATTGTATGTGTTGACCTTTGAGAAATAATTTCGGGCCTGATTAAATGACGAAATGCTACATGCCTCGCACGGAAATGCAGTTGAAAATATGTACCTTTTATGGCTCTCTTGACCAAAAAGGTCCCCAACCCCTGGCCTAACCCTAACCTGGTACACACACTACGGGAGTATCCAAAAATCTCACATTGCACTCACTCAAAAGTAAAAAAAGACTCATTTTTGAGGAGATGCTGACACAAGATATTTTCCTCCTATCTCAAACTTACCTTTAAATATTCATCAACTTGGTCTGATAAATCAGTAAAGAACATGAATGCATCTTGTTGCTCTCTGACGTTAATTGCTTGTCCCCAAAGTTTAAAATTTTTCCAAAATGTTTCAGGAATAAAATATTGTAGTCTGGATTCTGATAGATGACCAAATATACGTTGCAATTGATATAATATAGTAGATTCCTCATTTGCATCACCGAATTCAGTGCAAATTAGAGGCTGTCAATAAATACATAAAAAATTTCATTACAAATCAAAAATGTTCCTCAATGACAACTGGTAAAATGTTTCGTTACAGGGATGGCCAATACCGAATAATTCACTATTTCGAATACATTCGAAATTATTCTTTTTAAATATAACATTTCGAAGAAATTATTATTATCTGTATGAAGGAATTTGCATACAATACAACAATGGAATAACTGTTATCTACAAGCTGGCTACCAGACATGCTATGTCCACCGATTGCCGTGATATTTTATAGTAGTATGCTTATTTTATTTTTCGAAAGTTCAAAAATATGAATCAAAATTAATTATAATCGGCCAGTTTACCATAAATTTTATGTCCATAGATTGCCGCAGTATTTTAGAGTTGTAATGCTTTTGTTTTTCGTAAGTACGAAAATAGGAATCAAAAACTAATCATAATCTGGCAGTTTACCACACATTTTATGTCCGCAGAATGCCACTGTATTTTAGAGAAGTAATGTATTAATATTTTTGTGAGTCGACGCAACCATGAGTTTTGTTTAACACAATTAAATTGATACGGCAAGGCGTTTTAAATGCTGGTATCATATTCGAATATTTTGTCGCAACAGAAAATCATCTTAGTAAAAGTCTATACATTTTAACTATCATTATCAAAATTTTCTGCCAAAAAACGGGATATAGTGTGAATTGTTTTTCCATGAGTATGAAAATACAAATAAAAAAATTAATAGTAATCGGGCAGTTTACACACATTTCATGTCCGCAGATTGTCGCGGTATTTTATAGTAATGCTTTTATTTTTTCGTAAGTTGACGCAACCATGAGTTACGTAAATTAAGCAAAATTGAATCAATACGGTAGGGCACATTAATTGAGGCGCACGCTCGCACAGAAGATAAAAAACAATCAAAGTGCCGATACTATTTCACCGTCATTGCAATATGGACAAAGCACAGAAAATCGTTCGAAGATTTTCCTCTTAAACGAAACACCTCGCTGATGGCGCAAAGTGGCTATTATTCAGAATTATTCGAAAATCAGCTAAAAATATATTCGAATACTTTGATATACAAATACATTTTACACCCTTGAGTGAGGTGGGAGATCTTTAGCCTATGACACATACACTCAAATATATATATTTGCATAGATTGGTTTGGTTATTATAGATCATTAAGCTTCGGCCATTGCAGTTTAAAAGTAGCAACTATAAATAAACTCACAGCAAGATTTTTAATCATAAATAATTGTTGCAGAATACTGTTCATGTAACAAGTTGCTCCTGCATTTTTCAAACCAACCAATCCATGTTCAGGCCGGGAGTCGACGAGAGGTTGAAAATCAAATTCCTGAAAAAAAGAAAAAATTAGAATAGGTTGGTAGTCATAAGATGTAGTCATAGGTTGGTTCAATTCAGGGATAACTGTACTTTAGAAAAATGCCACAGAGGAGAATAAAGATTGCAGACATCTGATCTAAGGTGCGAGAAACTATCTAATAGGGCTCACAATATCCAGAATGCTTAACAAGGTCAATAGCAGGATAGATAATAAAATATTACAATTTAAATTCTCCTACCTTAGATCTCGATAAGTCAGGATAATGATGCATTGATAGTAGTTGAGATGAAACTTGTTGCAAATTCAAAATACATTCGTGACATAATTCAATCAATACACTGAATGCTGCTGATCTTGATTCATTCGAACTGCATCTGAGATAAACAGAATATAAATACAAGATAAAGGGGTTTATTGTAATGATGCAAAGCAATGCCCAAAGTCAAAGGAAAAATATTTCAGAAACAAGAATCGTCTAGCATCTAGGAATTATACGAGAGAAAAATTCTCAAATATATAGACATACAGTTCCAACCGCAGTGACAGCAAAATTCCATGAAATAATAAATAAATTATATCAGAAGTGGTGTAACAGTTCCATATAACAATGTTCCACTTTAAGAAAAAAAAACAGAAAAGCTTTTGGGTGAAATATCTGGCCCAGTAGGATTGAGAAAAAGGTAGAAGTGAAAAAGAAAATTAAAGGTATAGCATCCTAGCAACTTCAATGCTCTTCAACTGCTGGAAATTTTAAATTGACCAATTGCACAATAGCAATTAGAACAACCTCTCCAACAACAAATAATTACCAAAGGTTAACAAAAAAATATCTCATACTGAGACTGTTAAAAGATTACAATTGAAAAAATCATTACTATTGGTATGTGTAAAAAGTTATTCATGGATATCGAGATATTCGAGAACTTTTTTCCAAAAAAATTATCTCATTTTTTTTCATTTTCTCAGAAATCATGCCCCCTTGTGTATCTGAATTTATTATAAAATCCATTTTTGCATCACTTTACTTGTATAAATTACAGTTTTCAAAAACATTGTCTTACTTAGGTTGAAAATCAGAAAATATTCTTTTTCCTCTCGCTTGTGTTGAACTATCGAGAATTAATTTTGAGGCAGGAAACAAAAATTCAGTCAATAATTTTGATATCAGTTGGGAACCTGAAACATGGATATTGAAAAAGTTCAAAAAATAGAATAATTTACTGAAATCTTCAAATTGCATTTTGAATAAATCAAACATTTTTTTATTTGAGTTGGTGTAAAATTTTTTATATTTATCCGGGGAGAGAAGAAAGTAGATAAAACTACTTATTCATAGGGCATGTCGCATCTTTGCCAGTAGCTGAACCATCCTGTGACGACGAGGAGCCAAGCAATGTTTTGTCACTGTAAATTTGAGTCGTAAATGCAAGTGCGTTCTTAACAACTCGCACGAGCGAATAATATAAAAAGGAATAACCAAAAAAAGTTTTACACACTGTGAATAAGCTTGGTGAATTCAAATTGAAGACAACAGTGAATCTAGGTTAACTCAAAATTTGAAAAAAAATTGTATTCACCTATTTCTTTTTTATTAATCTTGGGGCATGCAATCAATGTTTTGATGAGACGCAGATGTCCAGTTAGTAAAGTATTGTCAAGAACTCTCGCAGATGATGATTCTGTATATTCTGTCGATGTCGGAATTTCAAAATTACTCAACCATTGAATTTCATCTTCCAACATCGTTTTAGGATCGACCCCACCTTTAGCCTGAAAGCAAAAAATAGTTCTTATTAGTTTGATCGAAAATAAGTCAATATGCTGACAACAACAGGTTATAGCCCATTGCACGAGAGACAATCGAATCATCATTTTCCTCAACATTTTTCGTAAAATTCTCACTCTAAGACTATATGTATAACTGATCTTGTGAAATGAGCAATCCAAACAAAAAGGCATGGATCAGTTGTGATCCTCAGTGGTTTCTTTTGTTGATATTGTATCATTTCATTCAGTTAATTTCTGGCAACACTGCCTGTTCACTTCATTTTATTGTCTCATGATCCACTGATTGTGTATCTGATTGCTCTTGCTTCTGAAGATTGCAGCATGGTTGCTGTGCAAGCTAATATAACAGTTCTGATCAAATAATATTTGGTTGTATTAACTGATATTAGTCAGTTTAACACCTCTTATCTACAACCCTAAACCACAGTCTTATCCTTAGCAGGGATATATAATATAATACAAAGATATCTCAGATTTAGGACTGAAAAGAATTGTTTTAGTCGCATATGTCATACCACAAATATTTTCAGCTTCAATCTTCCTATATTCCGATCATATTATGTATTTTTTTACCATAATCACCATTTTTTGATTTTTTCAGTAAATTGAAATTGGTCAAGCATTAGACTTAATTAGGAAGGCACCATATGTTAGTATTTTGATTAAAATCCCATGCTCCAGGGTTTGAAAATTTGGTGGGCAGTCTCGAATCGGAAAAATCTCGGTTATTACGAAATAAAGAAGCAACTTCTTATATATCAGGCTGGTTGTGCAAAGCCTTGTTTGGAGTAAAACACATATAAAAATGCCATTTAAAAAATATTTCATGAGGACAAGCGGGGAAAATGTTTTCCAAAAGTTTCAATCCTCATCTCTTACCAACCTGAAGTGTTATGGAAATGTAAGCAAAAACAAAATGGGTCCAATGGCAGCTCCTTGCATAACAACGAAATAACACAAATTCATCTAATCAAAATTTATTTCCATGATAAAACTTTAAATAAGTAAAATATTGATAACAAACCTGTTGATTATGGTGAATAACATCTTGAATGAGTCGACAACGAAGATCAAAATATTGTAAACAATTCCGAACTATCTTTTGTCCTGAAGATCGTAAGAATGTGTTTTGACTCCAGAGTGGAAGACGAGCTTTTAATATGATCTGAGAAAAAAACGCAAATGACAAACTCGTTGCAATGAGACTTTAATAATGTTTTGATCAAAACTTTTTTCATCTTTAATAATAAGGATTCCATTTATCAACTTTTTTAAACCAGAAATTGCAAAATATACAAAAATTGGATCAGAATGTATTTTAGTAGTCAACAACGGTAACCAACAGTGTTAATTTTGAATTTCATTTCAATTAAATAATCTTCCATTTCAAGTTACAAATAAATACAGTGAATAAAATAAAAATATGAAAAAACTCACGTCCAGAAAAAGCCTAAAATGTATTCCATAAGCAGATGCGTGTTTAGGTGGCTTCTCTGCTCAAACCATAACAATATGGACTATACAACTAATAGCAGTTTAAAGTCACATGTGAGTAAGCATCATACCTTTAACAGCATAAACCTAGGTCCATTTACAAAGGTTGCAGATTCAATGTTTGATAAAGCATGGAACTGTTCAACAGCACAACTTCTAATATCACGATCATTAGGTTGAGTTAAAAGATCAACGATAAATTCAGAAACAGATGGAAGATTGAAAAAACAATCTGAAGAAAGAAAAAGAAATTATGAAATTTTCATGCACATTGAAATAAAGTATGGAAATATGAGGAAAGACGTTCTTTTATATACTGAAACCTCTTTGTACGAACATTATAACAAATAAAAAGAGTGTTACTATTCGAAAAACACATTCAATATTTTAATTTGTACATTCAAATTCAAACTAAGACAATTTTGCAGGATTAGATTAAATCCAGATAGGATACGATTTCGCATAAATATCCCAATTGAATTATTAAATTAATCGAATGGCTATTATGAGAAATACGATAGCTACTGAAAACAAGAGAGCGATGCTCAAATATATGGACACGGAGGGCAAAACAAAATATTTTATCATCAATTCCCTGGGATTCATGATTTCATGAGTAAATATTGCAAGGCTTTAATTTCCATAGCCACAATTATACATTGTGCTCGTTAATTCGTCATTTAAATTACAACAAACATAATCTTACCAAGATGGGAACTTCTTAATTGCAAGCAGGTAATGAGAAGTTCTAAAGCTTGTTGTGCCACAACGGCATCAGGGTTTGGTGGAGGTTCATTGCGTTGTCCCAAATTACCAAAAACACTTTGTGATTCAGATTCTACACTCCCTGCACTGGAAATACTTCCTGTGCTCGTGTTACGACCGATGTACGGACTGATGTTGCTGACCGACACACTTGAAGATGAAGATTCACGACTCCAACGACGTGCCCTGGGTAATGTATTGGAAACTTTGAATTGAATTGTATGAAACGAATAATTATCTATATAACAAATCCACATTTTCACTCTGAACACTGCCCTGTACAGCAACCACTAACAAAAATGATCACCATTTTTCAGAATAAAAAACGTTCTGACCGGTATTCCATCAGAAATATACTTAAATGTTGCCTGCATTTTTTCATATAGTAAATATTCAATTCTCCAAACATTCTAAAATATTTTCATTTAAAGTTTAACAACCAAAATGAGATGTTAAAAGACATTTCACATGTCTCCCTTTAAATTTAATTCTCTTACTACATTTATATTGGATTTTGGAAAACTTAATTCTGGAGGGTAGCCAAAAATAGTTTAAGTCGAGCGGTATTACGAAATATGTAAATTTGGTAAAAATATATATATTTCCCTTACAGGAATATATCTTTAATAATATGCGAGTGTTAACTACTTACCTTGAAAAACTTGTCCCTTCATGTTCAGAAGGTTTAGCTACAGTTACTTGATCAAGTTTGGAAGCAGAAGCAAACCATGCAATACGAACCAAAGTTGATATAAATAAGGTGAAATCCTGTTCATCCATCACCTAGTGAACACAAATAATAAACACTTTATTGATTAACAAACAAAAAAAGAAGTTGATATTGTATTATTTTGTTTTGTTAATTTCTGGCAACACTTGCTCACTTGCTCTTTTTTCTGAGGATTGCAGCATGGTTGCTGTGCAAGCCAATATATCTGTTCCGATCATATAATATTTGGTCATGTTAACAACATATTCATACTAGAATTTGGCTTGGTTTTATCAAACTGAACAAAGTATCCGAAAATATTCAAAATTCTTCTAATTCTTGATTTTAGAAATACTTCACAATGCTTTAGTAATTAAATTAATAATTTTGATCCATTTGCATCTGATATTCATACAAAAATAAGTTTATTCAATTTCCAATACTAGTAGAAAAAGGGAAAACTATAAAACATTGTTTATTTTGACTTTTCTATAGTGCACAAATCTAATCTCATAATTATAACATTATTTATTCTGTAGAACATATATTCAATATATCCGCTACTTGTATTTTTTCTGCAAAAGAGATAGGAGTCAGGGCCCAATTAATTATCAATAATTACGGGATGTATGGGTATTGGTTAAAATTTTACATAAAAAGTAAAAACAGGGTAATTTACTATCCTAACCAAAAAATGGAACATTTTAAAACATATTCGTAATTGTGTCATGTTTCCCAAATAAATTTGCAGAAACCATTGTAAATAGATAAAAACTGAAACTGGTAATGTTGGATAATAATTGAATATCCATTCTTTACATTGTCAGAAAATAAGTCCACGTCATATTATCACATGCGAAATGTTTCAAACTCATAAATTTTTTAAACCTTTTATTCATTCAAATATCCAATTTATTTTGAACATCCCTGCAGATATGAGTATCAAAATAACTTTTATAGTGTACCAGGAATCAGATACATATAAAAATTTATTACTACCATTGCTGAAAAACTAATTTCGCTTTTCACAATGCAACAATGAATTATATAAATTACAACCATTTTATTAACTTGTGCATACAATGCATTCTACGTTTAAAGAGCATGATGTTATGAATTGAACTAAAGGAAACTGAAATTGACTTTCAAACGCCGACTCGTTTTTATGTATTTGGGTTTATTCGTTAATTATTAGCTAACTATGAATATTCAAAAGTACTATAAGTCAATCACAAGTCGAAGATCACTAAAATATTCAATATAGTTAATTTTTAATTTTAGGAATAATTCAGAAATAGAAAAAATAACGAAAAATATGGATTATATGAATTCTGAAAACAGCAGGTAAGAATAAAAACAATAAAGCAATGCTTTGTTTCATTTCCCTATATTTAAAAACCTATTCTCATGAATATACAATAATTGATAGGTATTTGTCTGTTTGTCTTTCAGACACTTTCGTATGTTACGCGATATCTCACGAGAGCGGGGTTGAATCTCCTCCAAATTTTGCATGTGCATTCATCATGTCTCGGACCAGAAGCCTATTGATTTTGGATGAATTATGTTGATAATTAGCGAGTTATTAATTAATTAGTGATGGGGCACATGGTGTCGCTGTGGAGTAAAAGCGGATGAATCGAAACCGCAATTTCTGTTTTGGAAGATCCCCAAACTTTCGATTGATAAGTCTTCGGTCTCTGACTGACATTCTCGTTTTTCTGTTGAACATGATCTAATATAGAATATACTCAATATTTTATATTCTGTCTTGGCTGACTCTGATATTTTGACTTCATTTTTACATTCTATTGGCTCACTGATAAACAACAGAACACACAAAAATCAAGGGTTGCGAGTCATTGGCGGGCCGGACATATTTTTAGAAAGAAATTTTTAGAAAATATATTTTCGGCGCTATTGAACCCTTTGCACTTTGCCTTAACATTTCTGCGTTTTGTTACCCTTAGTTTAATCATAATTAAATTATTGGCTCATTAATTGTGAATTTTATACTTGTTAGATTATAATATAATTTAGTCTACAAGTGTCTCACAATAAATTCTGTTACGTGAAGAATATATTCGTCGAAACAGCTGTTTTGTTACTATAATTCAGTGAAGCGTCGCGGGCCGGATTACATTCCCTCGCAGGCCGTAGATTGCCGACCCCTGATGTAAAAGAAGTGATAAAATTCAAACTATATTTTATATTGAAAGTGAAGAAAAATTTATCCTGGGATCCCATCTATCCTGAATGTATCTTAATTTGAAAATGAAATATTCAATACATCGTTCCTTCGTTATTGTGTCATGTTCTTCGAGAATATATGTAGAAACCAATGTAAAATGATAATTGAATTTGATAATGATGGTGAATACTATTTGGATTAGTCATCTATTTTACAGTGTCAAAAGTTAGGTCTATTTCATGTCCGATCATCACAAGCCAAATGCTTCATATCAATAAATTGTTAAATGAAAATATTTTATATACTTCGAAGGTTATATTCACCCAATTCGAATATTGGATTCATTTTGGATATCCCTGCATATATGAGAATCAAACTAACTTCTATAGTGTACCAGGAATCAGAAACATATAAAAATTTACAAATCCGATAGCTGAAAAATCATTCTACGTTTAAAATTTATGAAGCAGTGAAGTGAAACAGATGATCATGTGAATTTGACTTTTGTCTACATATTTCGGTTTATTAGTTAATTATTAACTATGAATAATTTTACACTGAAAAATTAATTCCGCTTTTTACAATGCAATGTTGAATTATAAAATTTACAACCGTTTTAACAACTTGTGCATACAACACATTCTACGTAAAAATGAGTACAATGAAGTGAATTAAAACAGATAAGAAACTGAAATTGACTTTCAACGAGGCCTCGTTTATTTGTTAATCAATACCTATTAATAATCATAGATATGAGTGTGTCTGTGAGTGTGTACAAACAAAATATATGTAGGTTGGTGTTTCGTTATATGAAATTTGAATATTCAAATGTCATATCTCTGTAGGTGTGTCAGTTTAGAGGAAGCAATCAAAAACAGTTAAAAAAAAGTCAAGATATACTAGACTAAGATAACTTGTCGCTTGTCAGTGCTTATTATTATGTAGCAAGATGTGAAGTTTAAAACAGAATAGTTATTTTATGTGAGTAATTAACAACAATAACAAGTCATAAATCACTAAAACATTTTATTCAATCTTTTCTACAATTTTGCAATAAAAACAAATCCTATATTACTTAACTATTATCAATAATTTGTTTACATCAGTGATTATCTTAATGATTGTGTGCTGATTACTTGATTACCCAATTGTTTAACTGTTTGTTCCCAACTCAATAACACATAAGTTCAGTGTTGGAATTATTTAGTGTGCAGAGAATAGGTAGGCTACGTTTTGGCGCACTGTTTTTATGATAATAGTACCATTTCAGAGAATAGATATGGCAGATGGAAAATGTGTAAATAGTGGTGAGGCCAAAAGATTCTCGTGGTCACAAATTTCACTAAATAACGTGTGCGATTTCACAGGGTTTATTTTGGTAAAATCAATGATTGTTTCGTCAGTGTGACGTGGTTATTTAGGCTGTGACGTGCTTATTATGTTAGTGGATTTTGCAAGTATCTGTCTTCACATGTATGTCCTGTGCCGAGAGGACGTCAATAATTTTTTTCTCACCCTAAACTGTGCACCTGTGAATATCCGATTTTAAAATCCCCTCTTTAGAAAATCCTAGCTGCACCCTTGTATGTGGTAATGTTAATAACATTTTTTAAAACTTTCAAGACAGAAGTGAAAAATACCTGTACAGCAGCCCTTGCAACCTTGGGAACTTCTTGTGGTAAAACAACGGGACTTTGAGATAAAGGACTTCTACGATTTTTCTTTGTCGGAGTCGCTGAAGTCTCCATTGAACCAACAGTGACGAAATCCGCGTATTCTCTGATAGAAATAGGAAAGTAATACAGATAAAAAAGAGAATTTTGAGGTTGAAAGCTACCTTGCTTGTTGTAAAAATTAATTGGATATATTGGCAACATTGCTCTATGATTTACAGACCGTTGCGCGCATCCATCCATATATCGCATTCCATATATGAGTAGAATTTGATATATCATATTAATTATATAATTATGTCATATCTGATAACATGAGGTGGTTCTGTGAACTGATCAATTCACATTTCCATTGAATGAGAATATGATGATTTTTCATGAATCCAAATCTTAGAAATTTTCAAAAATTACATGTTCAGCGGAAGTATGTAAAATGTAGCATTCTTCAACAGTGAGGGAAAACGATCAATTAAATGTTAAATCAGCAAATTTCCCATTCAAATACTTAAGTAAATTACATTGCTACTGGTATGACAGCAATGCCCAATCTGAGCATGAGGTTCATCAATTGCCTAACAATTTTGCAAAACAATACATAGGTATACTCCATATTTTGTGTCCAATAACTGACCTCTTTGTGGGTGATGTTGGGGTTGCAGCCGCTTCCAAACTGATGCTTAGTCGTGGATGACGATTCCCTGTGAACGAGTCATCAGCAGTGGAGGAATGGTCACAAAGTAAAAATCTAAAAGTCAAATAACAGTGATGTAAACATGAATTATGTTGAAAAACATGGAATTCTCAAGTGATTAAAGCTCAATCTATCTGATTTAGCCTCCTTTTAAATGCTGAGCATTATATTATTATTTTTAGCAACGTATGTTACGTAGAATATTTTTGGGCTTACACTTTACATTACAAAATGACTTTATAGACATACTGTATAATAGTTCATGTCATGTTATTGCCAATAATAGCACTAAACTTTTCTGTGAGAAACCATGGTAACATAAGTGACATACCAAATGCGGGTGTTTCAAAAAAATTTACACAATCTATGACATCTTGGCTGACAAGTCGTGTTATTTGCTATCGTTAACGAATAAAGTTAACCGTGAGATGACCCTGCTCCCTCATTCCCCTAAAAGATTCATCACAAGCTAATGGTGAAATATGTGTCATAAAATGCTGCTATCTGCACAAATATCATGAAAACAGATTATGACAATGCCAAAATTTTGGTAGGCCGATATTTAAAGATAATTAATGCCATGATTTTTCAGTTGGTTATATCAGGTCTGACATTGGTTGACAAAAAAGGGTTATATTAAGTCTGACATTGGTTGACAAAAAAGGGTTATAATAAGTCTGACATTGGTTGACAAACAAAAAAGGGTTATATTAAGTCTGACATTGGTTGACAAAAAGGGTGTGGTGCCCTTGATACACAGACATGACATTGACATTTATAAACAGAAGTACACACATTGTTTTTCCTTAATGAGAGGATTCTTGGAATTAGATACCACACTTGATAAATCAATTTCAAACTGTAATTCAGGAATTCTTAATTCATAGGTCAAGCTCAAGTGATGGTAGGCAAATAGGTTTTGAAAATATGCATCGCTTAGGATATAGATGGTGAGATTTCAGACAGAGTTAGTGGATGTTGCGCCAGGTTTACTTGGAAAAGCTAGCTATCCCATCTATTACATAGTTAGTAATACTCGTTGTCATGGATACCCAAAATAAATAAAATATTCGAATACATTGAAATTTGGCGAAATATTAAATATATATATTTTAGGAAAAATTTGGCAACTGATGGTTAGACATTAATTAGATTTCATTCAACTACTGACACTGTAAAAAAAAAGATATTAAATCAGAAAATGTTTATCCACACCACCCTGCATTCCCAGATATATTTTCTATCAATTTACATACCGCAAAATTTTTCCGTTAAACATGAGTAATTCGAGATATATTAAAAATAGTAAGGCTTATCCGTGCTTTATGTGTTATATTCTGCTAAATGTGACAATCAATCAAGGGTGTACGGCCCATGTCTAGCATGAATAGAAAATCAATATAGCAAAGCATAAAATGAATACCTTGCAATTGTCAATGCGATGGTATAGCATCCTCTCCTAGTATCAGCGTCAGTTTGATGTTCCACAGTCTCCGATACAACCTCGTTTTGTAGTATGTTTAAAATGACTTGCAACCCGCCACATTTTAGGAAATATTTGATGAATTCAGCAGGATCATGTTGCAAGAGCTGTAAATACAGAAAAAGGAATTAATGAGAACAGTTACCTACCTAGAGATAGAATGTCCCCAACTTAGATAGAATTAGACCAAGAGATGTGCAGAACAAATTGTAGGCCTTCACTCTTAACAAGTCTCTGCATTAGCAGCCCTTGATAATTAAACAGCTGTATATTTTTGAAAGGAATGGCACCTTTCCAGTTAAGCATTGCCTACCCAAAATATGGTACTCTCGAAGTATGTGTACCAGGTTAGGGTCAGGCCATAATTATATTCCGATATTGCTTATTTTAGTTCTATTACAAGTTCAGGGACTGTCTGTATTAGCCAAGTAAATATCTCCCTGTCCATAGGTTTCAGTCCCTTCACACAACTTGTTCTAAAATATGCGAACAAAATCAGTTACCTCCATATTGGTACACATAGGCTACTTCTGAAGCGCCCAAAATATTACATCTTGGGTAATTTCTTGGGCCTGAGATTTCAACCAGAGATGACAACATAATTAAGTCCCAACGCTATAAGGATTTATCATTGCTTTGGTCTGATCTTATTACTACCCATTAATATCTTTAGACCGAATGAAAATAGGTGTGATTAACTATAAAAATAAAATTTTTGTTACCTTCTATGTATTACTACATCAGCCCAAATATATATTTTTTATTTAGAATATTGTAAAAAAAAATCAATTTGGCTATTTCTGCTTAAAATCAAAATGGAAAAAAATTTAAAACTTTCATTAGAAGCTCACTTTTTTGAAAATATTTATGACAGGTGAAATAATGCTACTTCAAATTTGAAAAATTTAAATTGTCATTGTATCAATTTCAAGTTATTTTAGAAATTTATAGATCATATTTATATAAATTTAAATTATCAAACAAATTCAATTTGAAATTGTAAAAAATTTCATTTTGTTGCTTTCTATGAACATAGTGGTAAATAATTTTTATTAGTGTTGGCTCATTTAAGAAAAGTGTCTTTTAATTTTATTAAATTCCTGATACATATATATACAACAACAATGATATGAGCAGGGTTGTTCAAAACGAATCGAATATTCGAAAACATTTGAATATCAAACTATTCGAATACCTTTTTGGCTGATTTTCGAATAATTCCCAATAGTAGCTACTTTTCGCCGTCAGCAAGGTGTTTCGCTTCTAAGCAAAATCTACGAACGATTCTACGCACTTCATAACATATTGTAATCACAATAAAATAGAATCGGCACTTTATTTGTTTGTGATCTTCTGTGCGAGCGTGCGCCTTATACTGTTGCACAATTGCGTGATTGGCATCGACGGTATTACCCTGCAAGGCTTCTAATTTATACATTTATTTCCTTTACGTCGAAAAATTTAAAATTATTCAAAGCCACAATTGTTATGATACCCAATAAATTAGTCGGAATTATTTAGAAATGCAGTTTATACTTTTTTTCGCTTTTTGGCAACCGATTTTAATTATGATAGTTAAAAGTCCAGAAAATATTTAGATACCAGCAATAAAAATGCCTTGCCGTATTAATTTAATTCTGTTTAACATAACCTGTGGTTGCTTCGACTTATGAAAAAATAAAAGCATTGCTATCGTATATTAAAATATCATGACAATCTGTGGACATAAAATGTGTGGTAAACTGCCCGATTATACCTAATCTTTGTTTCGCATTTTCCTACTTGCAAAAAAATAAATAAAATGTCTAGTAAATAGGCAGGTTGTAGATAACAGTTATTCCCTTGTTTATTGTATGCAAATTTCTTCATGCCCTAAAATATGCTTTTTACTTGGAATTTATTTTAGAATGTATTCGAAATTTCATATTCGAAAATAATAATTTTGAATGTATTCGAAATAGTGAACTATTCGGTATTGGCCATCCCTGGTGCACTTTCTTTTAAACAAATACTATATATAAGGCATGGAAATTTGATGCTGTAGCCTATCGACAGCCAAAACAGATTCCACAAGTTATACCAGAGTCTATGAGTAATAATGACTAAATTTATCCTATGTATGCAATATGTTCCATGCTCAAATCTTTTGCAGTGACTCATATAATATATATATATATATATATTATGAAGGGATGAAATACACTAATAGATACTTTAGACAGGGGTGGCAAGAAATGAAAGAAATTGTAAAGAAGACGTACGAAGCATATATTGAAACAGCTAAAAATTATTTAGAAATTATGTATTATTGTTAACGATGTTTGTGAAAACGTCAAATTGCTCAAATTATACGAATAAATTTTCTAATTTTTTTTATATGCTTGTCAACGTCTTTCACTCTGAACAAGGCCCTGCACAAGAGACCATTGATATCAAACAAGATATAAGGAGTTGCTATTTTTGAGATGGCTGAAATCTTTCTCTTTCGGTACTGCCTACCAAATTTATTACACATTTGGTGAGGTGTTGGGCCTGAGAATATGCAATTGTGCCAGACAAAATGCCAGATTTAACGTTTTGAGTATTTATATACAAGTGCCATATATTATAATATATTTGAAATTGTGCACCTTCCAGGCGGCTAGTTCATGTTGTATTACAATAATTCAAAGAAACCTTGGTATCAATAGGAAGCTTAGTGAGGTAAACAATGCCGAAAGAGGGAAATTTCAGTTTATACAATGCATTGTGTGGAGCAAAAAAGACAGCATGTTGAAGCCTTGAAAGCAATGGATGACTAATGGTACATTATCTCCATAGAACAGGTTACTGTCAATTGACAATATCACAGGAAAAAAGAATTTCAATCAGCTATCAGACTTGTGTTTCTCGTTTTACAGCATAAGGCCAGCTGGCGGAATAATATTCACACAATTTAGCATTTTATAATTCTGTCAAAGGACTGTTTTTAGGGTGAGGCTGCTCTGGATATTGGAAGAGTTTAGAATCTTTATAAAAAATGCGTAGTATATTAATCAATACCACAGATTAGTTATATGGAATGGATAACCCAAAAGGAAAGATGTATCCTTTTTTAATCCTTAGCTTAAAGGGTTCTGGTACACAAAATCAGATAAGCAAACATGGGCTTTTTGAGAAAAATACCAGCTTGGGTCCAAAAGTATGAATTTGAAATCGATTTGCTCAGTTATTGAAGAGAAAGTCAACAATAAATTTAATTATGAGTTGGAGTGCGCAAGACTAACACCCTATCCTTCTTCTATGCCTTTATGCTAGTGGAGGTGTATGAGTATAATGCAAAGATGCTGTTGCAGGAATACATAGGACTATATATACCATGCAGTTCAAATTTTAAGAGTTCAGCTGAACACTAACACAAATGTATTTCTGTAACATTTCGTCTGCCAAAGTCACACTTCCTCAGGCAAGCAGTTTAAAATAATCACAAAAATTCGTTGTAAACTGCTTTTCTGAGGAAGTCTGATTTTCGTCAGACGAAACGTTACAGAAATACTTTTGTGTTAGTGTTCAGCAAGACTCTTGAATTGTATAATATAAATTACAACAATTGAGCAAAATATCTGGAGGTCTAATACATGTTCACTAGTAATCATTCTACCAACAATTTACGAAATGAAATCTCACCTGTTGATCTGTGACAGGAATAAGTAGACTGCTTAAAACTTCTAAATTGTATCGAAGTCTGAAAATATTCATTCCAGGTGAAGATAATCGAAAAAGAGAGTCAAATGGTGACAGCCTTGGGTATCTATAAATCAAAATAAAATATTTCAAATTAGAAAATGTCAGGGACACAGAACATAAATCACATAAAGAACATAAATCAAAAATGATAAAAATAATTTTAAATTTCATTTGTTAGAGTTATTCGTTTAAGCCAGGTGTTTTCTGAATTTTTTACATCACAAATGATGATGGTTTATGCGTAATAAAAATACTCTCACGTATCTCAGCAATTTAAAATTATCCTTTTCGTGAGTTTAATAGGCTATTAATGAAGTAATAAATTTAATAAAATAAGTTTAATTAACCTTCTTCCCAACATGGCACGACTTGTATTAAAGAAGTAAATACAGTGCGAGTGTGAAAAGATTGGGTACCTCAAGCTTAGGGAAAATCAGAGGATTTTCATAGTAAACCGGAAAGTAACAATTTTTCTAAGGGAAAGTTCCAAATGAAGAAATAACAGATGAGCAAGCAGAGTTGAAAAGTTGAACCATTGGAAAGGCTACAATGTTTATTAAATATTGATAGTTATTCCCACACCAGGGTGTAATAAACTGGGTGGGCGGGTGAAGTTTAACTGGGAAGACTGTGTGTCCTTCAAAAATAAAAAAATATTAACTTCTTACATATCGGTGGCTGCTTATGCGGGGCTTTGTTCAGAGTCAAAAGGTCACATAATAAGACATCATACATAATAATAAATCATTCGATATCACTCACACAATATTTTGCAAAAATATTTTTTTCATTTTAAGCAAACACTATATGATTAAAATATCAAAATTTAAACCAAAATATATTAAACTCTTTGGACATACAACCATATTTTTTTTTCTGTTAAAATCTTTATCATAATTTGTAGAGCCAAAAACAACAAAATGTTGACGTAATCTCTCCTAACCATTATTTTCATAACTCTATCATGTAACACATTAGAGAACAAACCAAAACCTTTTTCCTTCCTTTTTCGGTTGACTGAGTATCAATGGTAGATCAGTAAAATCAAATATTAGAAAAAATATTCCAACTTCATTGAAGAATACAATTGAATAGCATGCTATATGCCAGTGAATAAAACAGTTATATTTGAAGAACTGTGAAGTATTACGCAATACAAACACTTAGATCAGGATATATCATAGCATTTTTTGCGAGGTTTTTGGTGGTTTTCATGGTGTTTGCACATTAATTATAGACAAAATCTGGTTTTCTTTACCTTAGAAAAAGTTCTAATTGAAGATTTTTTTCAGGTTAAAATCTTAAATATGGGATGGTGCTGTGTAATATGTGGATATATTTTTGTTATATCAATCATTCTAAATGGAGAAGGTAAGTAAGTACCCTAATATCAAGTATAGTGCCATTATATGAAATAGAATCATGTCAAATTTACCTAATACATGAACTATTCTACAAAGTTGTGATATATTGACTAACAATTTGTTGCAACACCTATTTATTGACCATATGTAACTAAATTAAATCAACTTGTTGATATTATTGCCCTTGTCGTCTGCCTAACTAATGAATTCCTAAAATTTCTCCCAATTTTCAATTAGCATGAGCACTTCTCCAATGCTCGCAGCACGCTGTCTTTAGAAATTTCACAGTTTGTACGCAAAGACTTGAATTTCACATTGTTGAGTCACAATCACAACAATGCAAGACCGGGGAAAATCTAGGTTTCAATTGGCGTCTAGTTTCAATGGGCATGCATTTGCCCAGGGTAGTAATACAGGATATTAAAAAACAGCAACATACAAAAACTCGACTGTCATCCAAGTACCCCTGGGTACCTTCTCACCCCTGGTCTAATCCAATCTTATCTTTTTTAAGAATTACGAAACACATGGATGAAGTTTTCTCCTCCATCCAATGATCCTATCCCATTTCAAGTTGGAATGAACATAATACTGAAAATATTTCTACTTGCTACAACATTCACGTGTTATTTTCGATCGCTCGGTATAAACTTATCAAAGTTTTGCATGTGTTACGCAAATTCTTTTATATCAGGTATGATGCTTATTGTTATGTCTAAATTGTTGATGCTCGTATTTAATTGCAACTAATTATACTTGGCACAATATATATAATTTGGAAAATCAAATTAACATATTTTGTACAAAACTGCAAAAAACAAGGTCTAAAGATCGGAATTTTGTAATCAGTACTGAGTGTCATCAATATCTACAGAATTCCGGAGTTATACAAAAGTCTATTCTTGTGAAAAATATATCAGTAGATAGCGATTAACATAAGATATGTGTATATATATATATTTCATCAGGCATTTCTATGACAATAGTCAATATTGAATATGAGATTCTAAGTAAACAAGAACACAAAAATGCAAATTTTAAAACGGTATAAATACATACCGGCATAAGGTAAAAATGTTTAATGTTTCATACTTAAAATCAACTTTCTATTATTTACAGCTGGATTAGATTTTCTGTACATTATGAATCAAAGGAAGTCAGTGGTAATGCAAATATCACTCGCATTAACATTACTGGGTATTTCAATTTCAATGATCGAAAACTGCTGCATGAAGTCGGTTAATAATCACAAACCTGGATCTCAAAAATACGAAGCGATAAAAGCATGAAGATACCAGAAGATGAAGTAATCAAAATTCAGAAACAACTAAAGGTCAAATAAATGGACATGAAGGTCAAAAGATCAATATGATCACTGTTATGACTGATCTCAGGAAAATTCGAGCCAAATTTCAGAAGAATCGTACCGAATGTTGTATTAATGTGTAACCATGAGATACAAAAACCAGAAAATTTGGGGTAAAATATTGTGTCCTGTGAAACCATAAAAGCTGAAGAAAAAAAACAAAAGAGCAAAACTAAAATGTAGTGACATGAAGATCAAAGGGCTATTTTGCAATTTGTGAGAAAATTGTACCAAATTAGAATTTAAACAATTTGAATATTTTCATTCAAAAAGTGTCACTCTGAGCAAATGAAGTCTCCCAGTATGAGTAAATTTGATTTCTGAACACTGTTAAATAAATCATTACTCAAATCATTGTTCATTTTAACATTCAAATTTATTCATTATACATTAACCTCTATGTCTTGTTTGTTGAACATAACTATTTTGGAATGTATTAGGTTTTTCATATTCAAAAACATAGCAGATTTAGTGTACAATATAGTACAAGTCTAGATTTAATTAGATTGGGAACTAACAAAAATGCCAGGATGTTTTTGCCAGTTTTATTCTCGCTCCTTATGCTCTGTACGAGACCCTGTACAAGCTTTATGATATTGTCATTGTTATTTTGAAAAAAAGGAATCTTTGCCTACCCAATTTATCAAACCCTGGGTAAGATGGGGAGCATGGGACTTGACCCAAGATGTGTAATCTGCGATGACAACACAGTGAAGTCTAACGCCTCAAACACTAAGCCATCACATTATGCATTTACTGACTGGGAAAAAGTCCTTTCAAGCAAGGACTTTAATTGCTTTGGACTAGGGAACTTTACTTTGTCATTGCGTGCAGTATTACTAAGATTTAATACTGTTTTAGTATTATTATAATTCCTATTCAGGCACACATTAGAAGTATTCAAATTGCACTAATAGAAATAGTGTGCAAGTTGTAGTATCAATAATAAGATGTTGCATTGTCAAGATTTTAACTTTTCGTCAGATATATTTACCTTGTTCATTTTGGCAAAGTTGACGAATTTTATTTGAAAAGCAAAGATGTACCACTTTTTCATTTTCATTTTGAAAATGTTTTGTGTGCCATCTTTCAATAAATTGTTTAAAATGAAGTGAATGTTTACTTTTTGCTGTGATTTTTATTTCATTAGTGGTTTAGGGGGAGAAACCTCTATCCAAACATTGGTTTTTAATAGTAAAAGTAGCTAAAAAGTTCATATTTATACTATGAAATTACAATTTACCAGCTGAAACATCAATTAAAAATTACATTATTCTATAACATTGCTTGCACTTTTCCTGATAGCGATAAAATTTTTCCTATCTTAGCTCAAAACCATGAAGCAAGTCAACATTATTTGATAAATATTTGTGATTGAGTGAAGCCAAATGTAGATTGATAGCAGCAAAAGATATCCAGTAGACAATAACAGATAGAGAGAGAAAAACTCAACCAAGCAAAAGATAACGAAATAAGTCGCAATCACGGAAATTACTTACAAGAAGATCTTGTAAAGTGGATGGATGATTACAATTTACAACTCTGCAATATTGCATAAAACAAAAGAATATTTCTAAAAAATTGCATCAGAACACAGATTTTTTGTTTTAATTGATCATTTTAATTTATTTATGGCCTATTTTATTCAAATATTTAAAATTCATGACCATAATTGTGCAATTAAATGAATGCAAAGATAAATTTATCTCACAAAGAAAAACATGTTAAACGAATATTTTTTGGTCATGTTTGTATGAAATAGGAGAGTGTTTTACTAATATACTATATAATATACTATATAATACACAGAAGACAGAATATACTATATAATACACAGAAGACAGAACAAAAGATAGTGTGTTATGTACCCTAGAATTAACTTCTGACATTGAGCGTAACTTATACGCCCCAATGATTCGAGACACTGATTGATAAAAAGAAACAAGGATAGCAATGTAACTCCTCTAAGTATCTCATTACTACTCTTATGGATGTGAATTCCTGTAAACTCTGTAAAATTGTTATATTCTATTTCCCAAGTATGAAAATAGCAGAGAACTGGTGATGTACAGGTTTTCAACAAAAATTGAAGATTTTCTCTGACAAAAGTAAAAAGGTGTATACAAGTAGAATTGTTTTACTAATATATACACAGAAGACAGAACAAAAGATAATGTGTTATGTACCCTAGAATGAACGTCTGACATTGAGCGTAATTTTTACGCCCCAATGATTCGAGACACTAATTGAAAAAAAGAAACGAAGAAAAGAAGTAAAAAGGTGTATAAAGTAAAAAGTAGAATTGAATGCTTGAATACTAAAATATGCAGTAAATTTGAGTGATATTTTGAAGTATTGTTACTTTAAAACCAGTGGTTCTAAAACTTTTTAATCCCGTAAATTTTAAGAAAATCTGAGGCAAAATATTCAAAACGTCAATTTATCATATACCGGTTACTCTCTTTTTTCCATGAACTGTTCATATATATATCCTTCTCATGACAAGATATCACAAGCAAAGAACTGATTTTTTTATTTATGATGATATAATTGAGAGGTGATGGTTGTTTAGTTAACAGTACTTTTAATTTTACCCTGAATATAAAAATAATGCCAGATGTTCGTAGACAACATTCGCGGATAATAAAAAGTAATTTTAGGTGATGTCATCAAAATATTTCAAATAAACCCACTACAGGTAGGATAGGTTGAAAATAAATAACTATGATGTCATTCAACAAAATAAGCTTCGATTAAAAAAGCTTATGCCTTGCGAGGATAAAACAATAAAGTGAGAGCTAAATGGAACAATACCGAAAATGAGAGAGAGAGAAAGTTGAACTAAAATACATCCACCAATGAAAAACCAACAGCATGCACAGTTTTAACGCTACAATGAACAAATGGTTCAGCGATTAAAACTAATTATCCCAGACTTAGACCCCCACGGTGAATCCCGTACACATTACCCAAAAATTTCCTTTGCAGTCTTGTGACTCTGCACTCTTGTGCAAATTTAGTCATTCTTACAGGAATAGATGACTGAGACCCAGCTTAGGAATGGTTAGGATTGAAACAGGGGTGAGCAATGTTTTCGGACCAGGGGCCAAAAGTTTTGCCTACCTAGAACGACGGGCCGTGTAAGTGTGACGTAAAAGGTTACATTTTATGAACAGTGTTACAAAAGCATAAGTGGAAAACAATAAACCTCGTGCCAAAACTAAATTGAATTTGCAACCTCCAGAAATTCCTAGAGCTTTTTTTTAGCTAAAATATCAAAATTTGTTTTTAGTTAGGTTGTGGCAGCATCAGACGGGCCAAATTGAATTACCCAAAGAGTCTTATTTGGCCCACGTCAAGATTAGAATATAATTTTTGTCATTTATATCTAGAAACAGAAGTAGTTGGAATTGCCTTTTTCAAAATATTGTTTCACCATAGTGAGAACACATGTCATTTGGAACATATACTAGAGAGAACATTACTATTGTGCAAATTGTCCTAGATTACTGAAAATTTCGGATACAATCATGAATTCATGATAATGAACAAAAGAACAACAACAGAACTTGCTTGAGTGGTGACTCCCACATGACGCTGACGCTTATGACTTTTATAATAGATTGGTATGCTTTGTTCCTTCAGTAGATTAGAGCAGTGGTTCCCAAACTGTGGGTGGAGATTTTCAGGGGTCGCCCAAATTATGTTAGACATGCACACAAGTGAAAGTTGGGTACTCCCATAGTATGTGTACCAGGTTAGGGTTCTGGGACTGTTTGTGTTAGCCAAGTGAATATACCCCCTGCCAATAGTCCCTTTACACAACTTGATGTAAAGTAGGCGACAAAATTAATTACCTCCATATTGGTACACATACTTCTGGAGCGCTAAAATTTGTGCTGGTCGGCGAATAGGCATATTGGTAAATGCAATTGAGTGACAGTGTTACGAACACCAATAGTGGTATTGATTGCCAGGAGGTGTCTTGGCCGAGTAATCACTTTAGGTTTCGATCAGCTGCGAAAGCGCTTTGTCAATTCTTGCACGTGCCTAAAATCAACAAGTAGACTACCGGTACGTGTTTTTGTCCACATCACCTTCGCATAAGAGAGAACATTTAATATTGCAATATTATCGTATTTAGACGTTTCATACCTAATTTCGAAGGGTCGAAAACAGCAATAAATTCTAGCATAATAAAAGGCACTTAATAGATCCCAGACTTTCCTATTTTACTTTTGAATTACGGTAATAATGGATCAATCTCTAACATGTTAACATTGAACTAAAAATAAAAAGACACTGTTGGAATATACCAAATAGGATTTTGAATTTATGTATATTTAGAAGCAATCTTACTTTTTCTCTTATTTCCGAAGTATCGTACGCTCAAAACTACCATGTTTTATCAAGTCCGTCTATGTTTTGCCAAAGAACTGTTGTAATTCTAATCTCAGAGATTTTTACATCAAGGTGTTCATACGAATGCATGTGTTATTGAATCTTCTGAAGTTTCCACGTTTTTCCGACTCGTTCATATAATTTTTTATATATTGAATTCAAAAATTAGGATAGTTTGATGAATAACATTGCATTTTATACATTAATACAGATTCAATCACAAAGGTATATGCAGATTAGTCAACTTCAGTAATAATTGTTAATCTCAGAAAAATCAATGAAAATGGGTATGGATATATGCTGTAAAATATGTTCGATCGTGCAATGTATATCCATATGTTTGAGCATAACAGGTAAGTTGATATGCAATAGAGCAGGGGTAGGCAGGTTTTTTAACCAGGGGTCAAAAATTTTGCCCACTTAGACTGGCAGGCCATGTAGCCTAAGTGTGACATAAAAAGTTATATTTTATGAACAATATTAACAGTGTTACAAAACAACGGTGGAAAACAATAAACCTTGTGCTAACACTAAATTTAACCGCAATCTCAACAAAGTCCTTGAGCTATTTTAGCTGAAACATCAAAATTTGTTTTCAGTTTGGTTGTGGCAGCACCAGGCGGGTCAGATTAAATAACCCGACAGGCCGGATTTGGCCCGCGGGCTGTACTTTGCCCATGTCTGCAATAGAGTGTTAACTTATTTAAATCCATGAAACGATATCGTTTAAATTTTTCTTGGAAGAATTTGATTAATGCATGGTCACGCTCACTCAAAAGAGATTTATCGCCGAGTGGGGTTACAAGAAACCATGAAATGCCAATGGCTACTGAAACGAAATATATTCGTAGCAGCAAGTAAGTTATTTAAC